GACAGAGCACAATGCAGGGCACATAGGCTGAGATCTGCTATGCATAAGGAAATACTGTCCCTTCTATTTGTGGGAAAGCTGAGATAACAGGGCAGAGCCTTCTGGAGTTAGAGAGGAAGTGGAAATATTAATTTCTAATTGTCTCCTAAATACAAATCTCAATTAAGGTCTTAATTAATTTATAACAATATCATGGATAATTATCCTCGTGTTTCACAGAAGCTTCTTTTTTGACAGATTGAGACTATTACAGAATCCACAACTGAGTGCAGAGAATAAGTGACTGTAGGGTACCCTTAACTGATGTATCTGCAATGCAGACTTTATACCTAGGCCTCAGGGAAAATCACAGAAAAGGAATAGAAGAGAGAGTAAGAGCCAGAGGACAAGGGCATCTGCTACTAGAAATTATCTCCTAGACATGACAGAAATAATGCACCCAAGAACTTTCAATGATGTGGTTGCCTGAATAACAGCAACATAATGACAGTAGTTAACTTGGCAACCAGGACAATGGAAATCTCACATGTCCCTATCTATAGATAAAAAGCTACAAGCAATCAGTGACTGCTGAGATGGACAATCATTACTCCAAGGATAAACTCCCACAGAGGTTGTCTAGTTCTCAGTGGTCAGCTCTGGGCATATAAAAGCTACAACAAATGGTTCTCAGTAGGTTGAGTATGCAAGTGTGCATACATGTGTCTATATGTGTAACAATAATAAAAACAATAAAGAAGAGATCATGAATTTGAGAAGGTAGTGGAAGTGATATAGACTAGGACTCATGTACCAAGTTCTCAAAAATAATATTTGTATATGCTGCTCTTATTCAGGCAACCATATATATCATTGAGAGTTCATCAGTACATTTTCCCTGTCATGTCTAGGGGATAATTTCCAGTAGCAAATGTCCTTGTCCTCTGAGGTACTGCCAACTACAAAGTATGTATTCTTATGTGCTGTTTTCCATAAATTTCTAGCCTGAAATAAAGACATCAGTAATTGGGTAGTAATATGGATCAACAGACATAAGAAACATGCAACTACATTAAACAGAGTACACAAGACAGCTTAAATGCGCTTTTCTTGTGTACGGATGACAGAAAATTCAAATATAGCTAAATGTTTGAAAGTGTAAGTGGTAGTTTGAGGAATGTACTAAAGAATGTGATGCACACATTACCAACTCTCAGATCCATCCCATACGAATCCTCTGCACCCACATCTGGACACATGGAGTAAAAGGCCCAGTATGTATTAGTTTAATGCAGGCAGTAAATTCAACTCATGCTAGCCTTGGGTGAAACAGAGACTCCTCATCCTAGACCACCTCTTTGATGGAATCTTCAAAGCACTACCTCTTCCCTGTTCTTCACAGCATTTGCAGAAAATATTTTTATTGTGTTTCATTATACTTCATTGTTAGATTATAATATATATGCAAAATCACTTCTCATATATGATTGAATTCCAATACATTGTTTTATTTATTCAACCTTCAAAATATTATTTTAAAGAGCCCTCCAGCACCTGATTGGACTAAGAGGTGAGTCTCTATCCTCATACCCCAACACACCAGCCCCAAGGATTTGGGCCCAGTGGTACAACCCTGTGCCCCTACACCACCACATATTGCAGTCCCAGTTTCAGGCCAGTTAGCAGGCAGACCTCCTGCAGACAGGTCAGATGACCACCATCCCCCATCAGACCCTGTAACCCACAAGCCCCACATCCCCCAAATCCCACCCACCCTCTCAGAACATTGATACAAAAATACTCAATAAAATACTAGCTAACAAAATCCAGGAACACATCAAAAAAATTATCCATGATGACCATGTAGGCTTCATCCCAGGGATGTAAGGATGGTTCAACATATGAAAATCAGTCATATAAACAAACTGAAAGAAAAAAACACATGATCATCTTATTAGATGATGAAAAATGCCTTTAACAAAATCCAACACCCCTTCATGATAAAGGTTCTAGAGAGATCAGGAATACAGGGAATATACCTAAACATAATAAAGG